CAGAGCCTTTAAAGCTGAAATTAGTCAAGAACGTAAACCTACCGGTACGTAAACCCGAGTCAGCTGACACGATCTGTCTTACCAAAGCGCCATGTAAATGAAAACTCAACACCGCAGAATTTTTCTGTAGTTGTAGCCCGTAGCGCAGAAATCTGCGGAATTTAGATTTTTCCGTGTCAGCTGATTTCTCCTTCTTTAGATGGTTGCCAGTTCGTCAGTTTTACAGATGGTAAAAAAGATATAAGTTCCTACTCAAAATATGTTTAAAATATTTGAAATTTACTATTGAATAAGGTTTTTGTTGAAAACTAAGTAGTTTATATTTAGCTAAAATCTATTATAGCACGAAAAATTTTAGTTGAAAGGGTAAGTTTATGAAAAGGCATTGATGAGTGGCAACAGTGTAGTAAGCAACACTGAGGGCTCCAGTAATCGACAAAATTCTGCGTATACAGACTGCGTTTAAGTATACGTTCTGCGTTCTCGACTAATTTCAGCCTTTAACACCGACCGTAGACATATTCTACGTAAAAAAAGATCGACAGTATCGAAGGTTGCGAAAAACTATCGATGGTTCATTATAGTTACAGACTATCGATACTATCGATAGTCCCAGGGATTGTTTTCCAGCTCTAATTTCTCGTTCACTTCGTTCCCAGCTCTGGTTCAGCGCTGTTCAATAGCCAAGGATTTGAATACCTCGACCAGAAATTTTAATAAAAATGGTAATTTATTTGTGGTCTAGTATGAAATTGTAAGATAATTTTGCAACATTCTTAAAGTTCTTTAAACATTGAGATATATATTTACACGTGTAAGTTTACACGCATAACCTCAAATTTTTATTTTGCAGGCTGCTGCACCCAAGGATATCGAAAAGCCACAAGGCGCTGATTCTGCATCAGTTCACCGCATTCGCATCACGTTGACTTCCAGGAACGTGCGTTCTTTAGAAAATGTGTGTCGCGATCTGATAAATAGCGCGAAGAATCAGAATCTTCGAGTCAAGGTAGGTGTCTCTTGTCAGTTTGCAATATATATGTATATTTTTCAGCACGTACCTGGAGGCTTTGTCTTCAATTGAGAGCTTAGCCTAGTCTTTAAACTAGTGCCAGATTATATTCGGCTTGGATTGGACATTATTTTTCAATGTTATATGAGTGCATTAAAAAATTATTTATGTTCAAGCTACACGTGTAACTAATGCTAACATGGGATCATTATTCTTAACTATTAATTTGTATTGCAGGGCCCAGTACGCATGCCAACCAAAATTCTACGCATTACGACTCGCAAAACTCCTTGTGGTGAAGGTTCCAAGACTTGGGATCGCTTCCAGGTAAAAATTAAATTGCATTAACAATTAATATACCCATAAAACTTTTGATAAGTCTGCTTAATTGGCAGTCTCTGAGCAGAAACAATACTGGGTCGTTATGTAGGCGAGACCATAAAAATTGTTCTTTTTACGTTACACATGCATTTATGTACATATACATACGTGACGTGATATGTATATATATATATATATATGGCAAACTTGATATGGGGTTTTGTCATCCTTACACTCAGCTCAGTATCTATTTGTTTGCCTATATTAAACGCACTCGCATAGTCCACTATGAATAATTCCACTTTGAAGTGGCTCTCCGAGTTTTACAAATTTTCGCCTACATATGGACAGTTTCATACTTGTGTATATCCAAAACTACAAATTCTGTTTTTTTTTCAGATGAGAATCCACAAGCGTATCATCGATTTGCATTCACCTTCGGAGATTGTAAAGAAGATCACCTCAATTAACATTGAGGCTGGCGTAGAGGTAGAGGTTACCATTGCCAACTAAGAACGTGTATAATTTTTGTACAATAAAATACATATACTTGCACAGAGAACTAGAAATACCGACTTTTAATTGAATATAAATAAAATAATTTTTGGAAAAATAAGCACGAATATATGCAAATTGGTAATATTTAAATTAAAGAAAATTTCTACGGCGATTGCCATTATATATGTATGAATGGGTTTTCAATAGTAGTCCGGCACTGGTGCGCAAGCAATTTTAATGAAATCTGCATATCGAACCATGCTGTTATTGTTTACATTAGCTTCGCGAAAAATATTGTCGACCTGGAAATTTGTACATATATTAGTGTTCAGATAGATCTAAAATGCGGTTTAACATATATACCTCGCGTACTGACAAACCCTCTCCCCAATTCTGTAATAAGTTTCGCAATTGTCTGGCTGGTATAGTTGCCGTATTTTGGGGATCGGTAGCTTTAAATGCGGCAATAACTTCATCGGGAATTTTCTCTACTTTGGAATGTTGATGCATAATTTCAAGGAAATCTGCAAAACTCATTTTGCCACCTTTCTTCTTCAAATAAGCAATTAACTCTTGTATTGTGGGCGATAATCCAAGAGACCGCATAATTACAGTCAACTCATCCAACGTATTGATCTGTCCAGACCGTGCGAACAGGTAGAAGCATTCGCGAAATTCTATTAAAAAATAACAAAGGTCAAGCATACATATCTAAAATGAGCACGGAGAAAGCGTTTTAACCTCCTTTTAGGGAAGTCTGTAATTTGTGAATCCTAATAAAACAAACAGTATTTATGCATACATACCATCAATGTCCTGCTCCTTGAAATAACGTGCCTGTGAAATAGTAAAATTATCAGATAAATGCTTTTATAATTCACCGTTTATTTATATTGTTAAACTTTCACATTTGCGTACCATATCGAGATGCCTCTATGTAGATGTTGGAAATCGCTTTATTTTGTTATTTAAAATATGAAAAATATATACACCTGTACGTATGTATATAATATATGCAAAAAGGTATATTTGA